GATAGCCCACAGATAGAGGCGACGGCAGGTCCCATCACTCCCTGGACGAAGGATGAAGTCCGCCGGGAGCTAGGGAGAATGAAAGTTGGGAAAGCAGTGGGTCCAGACCGATAGAGGCATGGAAGGCCCTGGGAGAGCTTGGGGTGAGTTGGCTAACAGACTTCCTAAACAATGTAACGGCTGAAGGAAGGATGCCAGATGCGTGGAGGAGCAGCACAATCGTCCCCATCTTCAAACAGAAAGGGGACGCGACGGAGTGCTCCAACTACCGCGGCATCAAGTTGACTCCCCATACCATGAAGCTGTACGAGCGCCTGGTCAACACTAGGCTGAGGGAACTTGTCCCTATCTCGCAGGAACAGTTCGGCTTCATGCCCGAGAGGTCCACCACCGATGCCATCTTCATCGCCAGACAGCTGATGGAGAAGTACCGAGAGAAGCGGCGACCCTGCTACCTAGCCTTCCTGGACCTTGAGAAGGCATTCGACCGCCTGCCTCGGCCTGTACTCTGGAGAGCGCTTAGAGAACGTAACGTTCCGGAGCACCTGGTCTCCATAGTGAAGGATATGTACGATGGGGCTAAAGCAGCTGTACGCACCCCGCACGGCTTGACAAAGGAGGTAAACATCACGGTTGGGGTACACCAAGGATCAGCCCTCAGCCCGTTCCTCTTCCTCCTGACTCTAGATGTCATGGCAAAAGAACTCATGGAGGGACCACTGAAAACCATCCTCTACGCTGACATCGCCCTGATAGCGGACAGCAGGGAAGAACTCCAGGACAAGGTGCAGCGGTGGCAGGATGTGCTCGCTGAGACTCCGGCTGAACGTAAAGAAGACCAAGTTCATGAGCTCCGAAGAGTGTAACGAACCCATCGTAGACTGCCATGGCGAGAGCATCGAAAGGGTCGAGGACTTCCAGTACCTGGGGAGCGAACCTAGCAGCTGATGGCAGCGTGGACCAGGCGGTGAAGGCCCGAATCAACGCAGCCTGGATGAAATGGAGGGAGTCCACTGGCATCCTGTGCGACCGGCGGTGCTCGAGAACGCTCAAGGGCAAGGTGTACCGGGCGGTGGTAAGGCCTACAATGCTCTACGGCAGTGAGTGCTGGCCTATCTGCAAGAACCATGAAAGGCAGCTCCACTCAGCTGAAATGAGGATGCTGAGATGGGCCTGCGGCTGGACACGACTCGACAGAGTCAGAAACGAGGACGTCAGGGCGGTCACACAGACGGCTCCGATCCAGCTGAAGGCACGAGAGCAGCGACTGCGATGGTATGGGCACGTGCTGAGAAGGCCTGAGGACCACCCAATAAGGAAGGCATTGGAATTCGAAGCAGAGGGCAAGCGACCACGAGGAGCCCCAAAGAAAAGATGGAGGGACGTCATCAAGAAGGACCTCACTGAAGTGAAAGCCACGGCAGAAGATGCAGTGGATCGGAACAAGTGGCGACGTCTAACAAGAACAGCGGACCCTGCGACGACGCGGGACTAACGCTAGGGAGAAGAAGAAGAATTTTCTGAGCGGAGTTATGGAAGTTTTTCTTTACTGTTTTTCTTCTTGGCGCGCTGGCGCCGAAGCGTTGGCACATGTAGCGCGACTCACAGCGCTCTTCGCGCAAAACAGGTATCATATTCGTGTTCAGGGGTCAAATAACCCCTAGGGACGTCACCTTAAAAAAATCTGAGCTTCTGACTCAACTTCGAAAAAATGGGGTATGGATAGTCATGGCTGACTGATAGCTAACAGCGATACTATGACTAGCATACTGGTGATGACTGGTCTTCAACTGATAACCCTTCAATCATGTATATTCTTGACTATCGGGAAGAAATTCCCTCTCGAGACCAGTCATCGATGGTAGGTGAGCTCCAATCTGCTGCTAATTACCCATGGAATACATTTTCCAAGTGAGGTCGAAATATCAGATTCGGCTAGAAACTTGTCCCCAGGGGTAATTTAACCCGCTGAACATGAATATGATGGTATTTCATTGCAAAAACCTTTGTGACACGTGTTACGAGGGGTACAAGCCAAGCTTTCAGGCCACATCTTTACACTTTCGAAGAAAAACTGAGGTTCATCTCTGCTCAACGCAGGTTCCCGTATAGGGTAGTGCAGGCGAGCAGAGATGTTAGAAGCTTTGTCGGCTATGTTCTTGGACAAATGCAAAAAAGGACCTGCCCCGGAACCGATCCTACGACGTCTCGCCTAAGAAACCCGCTCCCTACCCGTTGCGCTCAGCTACCACGTTTTTCACCAAGACGCTTCCACGTTTCCTCGCGATAGCATGTGAAACGACCATGCGGGGATAAAACCCTCCATAACTCCGTTCAGAGAATCGTTCTGCAAATTTTGAGACAGTTCTGAGTTCACCGTCCCAAGATTGCCTTTCTCGGTGTTTTGAACTGCATCACGGTTCAAATGAGGTTTTGGTAGTTTAAGTGGCAGGTTACATGTTTATTGGTAACACATACAGCATGACTACAAGCATAAACATACGAGGCTAAACTACTGGCATATTCGTGTCAAATGCGAGTCAAATTGTGTCTTGTGTTCTTCTTCAGGCGATAGCGGGTCCGCAGTGTCTTGTGTCTCGTCTCTTGTGTTGGCACATCGTGTTCGTTCTTGTCCCTATGTGCTCGTAATGTATTAGGTTGACCGGAAAGTTTCCCGCCATTGAATTGGTGAGGAATCCAACGGCCAAGCTTTGCGACTTTACCAATCTTCTCCAGCCCAGATTCAACAGTTGATTGGGCATGGCCGAGCATCGCTGCAAGTTCCCTGGTAGTGGCGTACGGATCCTCTTCCACGGTGGATTGCAGCAACTTCAAGTCTAACTCCATCGGCCGGCCGGACCTTGGAGCATCTTGGAGAGAAAAATCTCCTTTCTTGAACTTGGCCATCCAGGTCTTGCACGTGTCGTAAGAGATAGCGTCAGCGCCATATGTATCCACTATCTTGGCTTGGGCTTCCTTTGCGTTTAAGCCAGACTGATGAAGGAAAAGAAGACAGTGCCTCAGGTGCATCCTGTCGGGTTGAAACTTGGGCGGCATTTTGGAATCCAAATGCAAGCTGGGTGAGTGTGAGGTAGTGATGTGAAAGAGTCTCTTGCGTGCTTCATGCACACCCCACGATAAGTCATAAACATACATGCAAGGCTAATATGGTGCGATCAAACACGTGGCGGGAAACTTTCCGGTCAACCTAATAGAAGCAGTGAAACTGAGAGAAGAAACCGTGAAGAACTGCGAAGAGAACGAGCGAGAGAATGCGCGAGAGTGCCCGTAGGGCCTCAGCGCGCCACCTTTATAGCCCTGATTGTGGGTGGTATAAATACCGGCTCAGGTGGGCGGCACCAAGGCCTCCTATTGGTTGGTTACCGGCGATGAGCGAACTTTCTAGAAAATGTGCATTTGCGACCCGTGCATCCTAGTCATCATGACCAAGGGTCATGACACTCCGCAACGAAACCAGAAAGCTTCTGGAAGAAAGTCAACACTCTTTGCCTGTGGTTGGCAACAAGTTGCCGATGAAGGTAACATATATGCTGTTGATCAAAATTGCTACTCTAAACTTATCTCGGAAAAAATGTTCAAAAATGTCACGAACTTTTGGAACAACCTAATGGTTTCGCTCGCAGAAATTGGAACACATATTCTATTGCGTCGATACTGTGGAAATGTACATTTTCTAGAACATGAACGCTCTAAAATGTTTTGCTCGCTTTCTTGCGTATGTTCACGTTTAAATATCCTACTATATATAATCCGCTAAATGTGTGCGTGAGTGTGTCACGAAATTCATAGCGACCTTCCCAGTAGCTGAGGGAAGTTGATTCCAAGGAATTATATGCTGAATGTGACTGCAATGTTATTGGTGGGTGACAGGGAGTGATATGAGCTGATAAGACCCGATAACAAGCGACAAGGGGAGGGTCACCGGATCTATAGCGCAGTATAAAGCAACGGTATGTCGTTAGTACAAAAATCATGCATGATCTGGGGGGCGTGATGGGAGCACTATTGATGGGTGACAGGCAACAATCAGTTAATAAGATCTGATAAGAGCCGTTAGAGTGGGATTGCTACCGAGTCCATAACGCGGATCACACCATCGTCTAGACGTTGATTCCAAGACATGATACAGGGTATGGGACAAGAACATTATTGGTGGGTGACAAGAAATGCTAGCAGCTGATAAGATCTGATAACTGAAGTTAGACAAGGTGACCATATGCATAACGCAGCACTCAGCAATACCTAGGTGTTGACTCCAACAAGTGATGTAGCGAGCGAGTTAGGGACGTCGAGGTGGGTGACAGAAAGTGATAAGATATGATAGGGGCTGATAAGGAACATCACCGTTGCCGTCCAATCAGCCTTTTACCCATCATAATATACCATGTAATGATAATTGTGTACATAGTATGAGCGCTATGGCCCAGACCACCTCTCCTGCAAGTTTATACGTGGATTAGGAATGCGAGTGTCGCTAGGTTGCTCTATCCATTATGATTTTATTAATACTGCGTAATATGAGCGCCTCAGCGAATTAACAAATTCCGTTTCCATTATGATGTGCGCCTGGCGAAGCCGGGCTAAAAAGAAGGAGGAAAGTTCGGCGTGAGCCGGGCGATCCGACTGGTTTGAATATATTGCCGGTGTAGTCTGAGTTCGACAGCAAGATTTCGAAAGCAAGTTTTCGTTCTCTAACTCTAACTGGCTTAATGCTCTCAGCTGTAGTCACGTTATTGGTGGGGTATGGTGGTATACGGACAGATTCCAGGCTAATCAACCAGGCGGAGTTGCATAGACTTCCCCAAGTAGAATGACAGGCATCAACACAATGGAAGCGCAGCAGGGCTGCATGCAACTCTGTAAAAGACCCATCGGAGCTCATAGATGTCATTCTATATATGATGCACTTTTACAGAAAAAACGATCAACTTCGAGTTGAAAGATTTCAAATTGTCGGTACCAATGGCTTACTCATCGAAATGTCGGCGTGCAAATCCAAGTTCCTACTATGGCGACGAGTGAAACGCAAGCAAAGAGTACATTTGACAACTACATCACGAACTTGGTACGATGCTCATGATTTTGAATGTGGTCCTAAATATGAACTGCCATCAAATTCATCACGTGAACTTTATTGAAGTTCATTTTCCATTGGAGAGGTAAGAAAAATTATATGGCTACACCACTATTTACTAAGAACGACTTCTCTACATCGCACATATAATCTGCTTCACTGGAAATGACGGGGCGCGTCCGCGCTGCTGCGTCTGGCGCGACAGCAACCAGTTTTTTTTCCGTAAGCACAAACTAAGTCATTTCGCTCGCATCGCTCGTTTTTCAACAGATTTTGCCACTCACTTTCCCAAACAACTGGTGGAGAATGGATTTGACCTTGCACCAAACACAGCCCCGCGAACACGCCCCATCACTCGCAGCAAACCAGATGGTATTGTATCATGGCGTCTACAGACTATCATATCTGGTAACCTCTGAACCTGCTTCCGTACTCTAAAGGTACCGGACTTCATTCCTTGCCGGCGGTCTTTGGTTTCTCTGCTTAATTTACAACTTCTTCCTACAATTCTTGACAAAGAGAAACTAAATGTCATGGCCGATCTGTGCAGCATATTATTGTATTAGGTTGTCCGGAAAGGAATGCGCGTTCGAGCTTAAAAAATTTTTTATTATAAAAACGAAATTAAACAAGATAAATTCAAAAGACAATCTCCATTAGTATCAATGACTTGTTGTCAACATTTATGCAAAAAATGGATTCCTCTTCTGAAGAACTCGACCGGCTGCGACTCAAAGAAGTTGGACACCCAGAGTTGGACCTTTTTCGCGGTTTGTGAATTTTCTCTCGGCCAGGGAGTTCTGCATCGACCGGAACAGATGGTAATCGATGGTGCCAGGTCTGATCTGTGTGGCGGATGAGGCAGGACTTTCCAGCCCAATTCCTCAATTTTTTTCTAGAGTGATTTTCGCCACATGTGGATGAGCGTTGTCGTGGATAAATTTTGTCGACGTCGTTTCGACACTTTGAAGACGCAGTGCTGGATCCATGCGGTTCAATGGTGTTTGCAGATGTCCGCCGTAACCGTCTGACCCGATTCCGGAACTTCAAAGTACATCAAACCTTTGCTATTCCACCAAACACGGAGCATCACCTTTTTGCCGCGTATATCAGGTTTCGGAGTCCGTTTTGGAGGGTCACTGGAGTCTAACCACTGTCCTTTTCTCGTTGCGTTATCGAAGCAGACCCTTTTCTCATTTGATGTAATAATAGAGTCGAAAAAACCGCTGTTCTTGGAGCGACGAAGAAGAATTCCGGCCATTGCCACTCGTGTTGCCTTGTTTGCGTCGCTCAGCTGGTGCGGCACCCGCTCTTCCCAACTTTTTTCCCCAAAAAAGCAAAGTAGACATGGACAAAAATATATCAAAAGAAGCACAATAAAAATCTCTTTCTAATAGACAAAACTGTCTCCAAAAATCTTCTATAGTAGGAGAGAAAAAATGGACAAGTTCAAAAAATTCAACGCGCATTCCTTTCCGGACAACCTAATAGTACCATACCACTGTAGGATAGCAGAAGCGCCAATTTTGTGAAAAACGAAAGTAGTGAGACAAATTTCCGAGACACGAGTTCTTTTCTTGTTCATAAAGTGAAGTATTCGTCTCTTTTAGGTGGACACAGTAATCAGACAAAAGGCAGCGGCTCTAGGGGTTTCGCCTGCTGATCAGGAGACTGTTAGCAGCCAAATTGTTCTTTCATCTACAACATATAAGCCAATGGAATGCAGCACTGTGTTCGTGAACCCAGAGGTATCTAAAGAATATACGTGTGAGTGATCTTTCTAGAAATCCTCGAAAACAAAGACCCCTTTAGCAACACTAGCGTTGACTAGCGTGCCCTAATTTTGAATATGGCATCCACCTACTCCATCACATCCACTTGACGCAATTACGCATTACTTTGGCGCCGCCCCCTTCCTTCACCAAAATTGCTGTCAAACTTGCATAGTAGAGCGGCTGATGGCCACGGCATCCATTTCTAGCACCGGTGCCGACTAGCGGCGATTTTCCAAAAATGAGCCACCATCATTCAATGAAGTCTCGTTTGGAGGCCCGATTACGAGTATGACATTCATTTTTCAGTGACGATACCACGTATCGCTCTGCTTAGGCTGACCACTGGAGAATGAGTGATTTCTTCCCTTTCAGGCTCAGCCGTAGCAGAGTGCGCAGTGTCCCCTACTTTAACTCTTGCGCTCATATGATTGTCATGTTCGTCATCGCGAATATAGCTAGTATGTGGTTCATCTGAATTCAGGAGAAAAGTGTGATGGCGCCAGACTGGCCGTACTATTCTTGCGCCAAATAACGCTGGCTCTGTTTTGTTCGTAATCACGACAGCAAGTACACTCTTCATCCGGGCAGTTGGTTAGGGCGGTCGTCAAAGGGCTGCAGACGCGGCTGCAGCAGCGACCGCGTACGTAGGAACTGTGTGCGGCGATCAGCCGTTTCCGGCCTGGTTTAGTCATTTTTTCCCTACTTTTCACTGTTTTTGGCTGCTTTTTTCAAGGTTAGCTGTTCCTTGTCTTCACAAGATAAATTATGATTGAGATTTCTCTAACTTTTGCGAACAATTAAACTATTAAACAAACAACTAAACAAATACCTAAGAAAATCGCGAAAAACACTTCATTAGAAGAAGCAAAAAAAATTCATATAGACAGTAACGCAACTTAGCTTGAAAAAAGAAAAAACTGTGAAAACTAGGGAGAAAATTGCTAAATCAGTCTGGAAACAGCTGATCGTAACGCGCTGGAGCCGCGCCGCGACCCTTTGGCCGGTCAACTGCCCGCATGATGACTTTAGGAGTATGCAAGTTTATGCCTATTCTGGCAGGGCACATCGTTGTTGGGGAATCCCCAATAGGGGGGGGGTCGTATTTGGCCGCCAGGAGAGGGGGGTCGTATTTGGGCTGGGAAAAATTTATTTTGATAGTTGATTTTTCTCGCTTCACGGACGTTGTAAAGGGGGGGGGTCGTACTTGGTCATTGTTGGGAGGGGAGGGGGGTCGTATTTACTCGCGGCTTCTCCTGTTTCACGTGTGCTACTTATCCCTCCGCCCCCACCCCCGCTCGACCCCGTTCCGACGCTCGACGTGATGAGGAGAGGACAGAGGAAGGGGGGGGGGTGGTCGTTCCGAGCCTCCAAAAAAAGAGGGGGGGGGGAGGATCGTACAGACTCCACTAAAATCCCCAACCGATGATGTGCCCTGCGATTCTGGTGAAAGAAGCTAGCGCCTAATTGACGCGTGGCGCCTATTGGCGGTGGTGCAAGGATCTGCACAGGTGAGTGTACGGTCCTTTTCAGAGAAGCTCGGATAGAATCCTACTATATATAATCCACTAAGTTTGTCTGTTGGTGTGTGTGTGAATGTATGTTTGTGTGTCTGTATGTGTGTTTGACCGGAAATTCATAACTTCCTTCAAAAGAGCGATAGAGCCCTCAAACTGATAAGTAATGTAGGGGGTCGTGCACGAACATTATTGGTCGGTGGCAGGGAGTGATAACAGTTGATAAGATACCATAAGGAGCCTTAGAAGGTAAGGGTCACCAAATTCACAACGCGCGTCACAGCAGCGGTAGAGCGTTGGTTCCAAGAAGTAAGGTAGAGGACAGGATGGGAACATTTTTGGGGGTGGCAGGAAGTGATAACAGCCGATAAGATACCATAAGGAGCCTTAGAAAGGGAAGTTCAGCAACATCATAACGCGCGTCACAGCAGCGGTAGAACGTTGGTCTAAAAAGTAAGGTAGAGGACAGGATGGGGACATTTTCGGTGGGTGGCAGGAAGTGATAACAGCTGATAAGATACCATAAGGAGCCTTAGAAAGGAATGGTCACTAACACCATAGTGCGCGTCACAGCGACGGTAGAACGTTGTTTTCAAGAAGTAATATATGGGGCAGGATAGGAACATTATTGGTGAGTAGCAGGACCTGATAACAGCCGATAAAGTACCATAGGGGGCCCGCTTCAGGAAGGCCTCAAAATTCAATGCAAGAGTCGGAGCAACAACGGGGAGCTGCATCTTTGCTATGCCTGCGACTGAACTTGACCACCGTGGTCCAAGAATTAATGGGCTAAACTTAGTGAGCAGAGATGTTCCTATCCCTTAGGATGTAGTCGGAGTTGATCCGACCGCTAAACTCTCGAGTACCACCCAGAAGTAAAAGCCTAAAATTGTTTGCCAGTGAGGAATGATAAGAGTCGCCAATAGACCGATATGTGAAAGCTGCTCACGGAAGAATTAGGATGTTAGAACACTTCACTATGATTTCGATATTGTTACCATTGAAACTCTTTCAACCGCTAAGTTGCCTCATTTCCAACGAATGGTGAGTGTTGTGATAAGCACCATACGTTGGCAAATGTTCATTAAAGAGGAGAATTATGATGAAATGGGCCGTGTTTTGAAGCATGGGAAAAAGGCGAAGTTTTAGGGGCCACCACAGAAATTCTGCCATTGTTCAGTACCATAGGTTTGACAATTCGCGCAGTAATGCGCGTCAGCCAATCTGGTTCATTATACTGACGCACTCGCTTCAACGAAAGTGGTGCAGCCCGAGGTTCATGAAATCTCCGTAGCCTCGCTCCTTTTTTGCCAGTAGTCTCCAATAGTGTCTTTTTCATACGTATTCTTTCAGAATGAAGAATTTATTACAGACGTGAAAGATTCTGGATACAACTGTTTTGTGGGTGTGAACATAATAAGTGGAATTTGCCCAACCGATACAATGTACTCTGTTTCCTCCGACTGCAACCGGAAACCGAACAATAAAACAGGCCGAGGCCGTTCCTAAACAATTTCTCACTTATCGCGGAAGTATCAAGGTAAGAATGTGCGAATATTACTATCGAACATTAACTCTTTCAAAAAGTCGGTGAAATGACAAAATCTTGTACCCATCGTAGTGCTCTATGGAAGATAACGAAACTTTTGGAAATGCCCATTCACTCGCTTTCACCAGCTTAATTCCTCAACCGCATCCATCCAGTGCACATCATTGCTCTGGGATTTTGGTCGAGTCCGTACAGCCCCATCTCTGAAAGCTGGCTAGATACGACTCTCCTCTTAGTTCCTTTTTTGATACGATCGAGCCGTCGAGCTCTAGGGGGGAGCGAATTCACAGCACATGTGAAACGGGGAAAATCGAAAAGAAAACGCGACTGCCTTTCGCGACAACGAGCGAATACAACGCCCGCCCCTTATAGCAACGTGACAGAAGAAAAATCATTCACGAAAGACTATTCTTAGACCAAATTCGACCCCCTTTCCCACCAGCAACCGAAGACGACCCTCTCCCTGTTCGGGAATCCCCAACGATGATGTGCCCTGTTCTCAACTTTTATCCGTGATCAACCAAGGAAGGGATAGAAGTCTTCTCCTTCCAGTCTTAAAAATTAGGTCAGTATTTTGCAAAATTTTCATGGACTTTGTTCATCGAAATTCAGATATCGAATGCAGTCATAGCAGAGTGGGAATACTACAAAATGGCAGCAGGTGTTCCATCGAGTACAACAACTTATGCAAAGTGGAGATTATAGCAAGTACTTCGGCGGCGCTTCTTTCGACATACTCTAACTAAACACTTTTCTGTTCTTTGAAGAGCACGTTCAAGACCAAATTCCAGCAGATCGCTGGTGAATAAATTGTCAGTTTCTGTTTCTTGATTGTACACAGATAAGGCTATTTTCTTCCTCCCCTCCCTGACCGAATCATCTATTCAAACTGATGAAAAGCCTAATCATTAACATTTCCGCGTTATAAATAGTGGGCAGAGGGGTTCAGATACGAGCAAGAGATGCTCATCAACTCAACAGAGAGGAAATAGCAGAAGAACTGATGTTTGCTTACAGATCAAGGCTCGCTTGATCCCAAACATTATGCATGTGAGAGAAGAGGAAGAAAGCGTGGGAGGGCGAAACCTCACACAAATGACCACTGACAAAGCACACAGCACGGCGTCATATGTACGGCGCCACCACTACCTTGCCTTGCATCCGAGACGGTTCCCACGCAAGAGGAGCGGGGGTGGAGGTCGTGAACGCAGGGTTCATCTAGAAGTGGGAAGAGCAGTTATACTGAGACATCGTACAATCACCGTTCGATAAAATATTTATTGATAGTTCTTGCGATGAAGATTATCCGAATGTAGAGGCAAGTCGTAAGCTCAGAAGTGGGCAATGGGTCAACTAGCACGACGGCAAGGCGGTGAGGCCGCACTTAGCGGAAATTCAGCACAACCGTGACGGCGTGCCCTGACCGGACTACCTACTGACTTGCTCAAAGGAAGAACCCGCGATTACTCGCCATCTCAGATGGTGGATTGAGGTTCCATATAGACGACAAGGGGTTGAGTAACTCGACTGTGAACAAAAAAGCACAAAAAACATGCCACCTGCCCTAGATAGAACCCCATTTCGATCCCAGTTTGTACGTGCCCAATCAACTCTATCTCCAAAACTACGCCCTCATATGCACGGCTGATTCACCGATAAGATTTCTACGATCGTACAAGTGGCGATTATCATGCTTTTTCGTCCTGCAATCTCATTTTTCACTGGAAGTCGGTCATTAGGGGCGGAGTCTGGAGGCGGAGTGGAAAAAAGGAGGAGCCACTGAACCTATATTGCGCTACATAGAATTTTTTGCCGCGAAACCGGTACAAGGTTGTTCGTCGCGGACCACTCTAACCTCCTGACGCCATATTTTCAACTTCGATACCTGATCGCTGACCATGCCTTTAAGTTCTTGGCTTTTCCGCCGTTCTCACTACGTGTGCCCTCGGGCGCACTCTCTCAGTCATTAAACATGGTGCGACCACACACAGCTTGGTTGTGCGTGACTATCAGGGGTGTGTAGCAACAGAATCGTCCGGTGTAGTTGGCCTGAGACACCCTTGCGGCGGCGAGAAGACGAATCATGCTTCTGGCCGTTTGAATAGGGATATTGAAGGGACGGTAAATATTGATATCACCCAGGATCGAGTCTTGTGTTCAGTTATGGTTAAGTTTTTAGTTCTTCCTTTTTCTCAGAAAGAAAGACAGGTTCATTAGAGCATAAACTTCACTAGGGTAACATTTGCTCTGGTGTGCCATCTTTTACAGCAGCTCACAGAAAAACTTAACCATTCGTCTATCAAATGTTGACGCTGACGACTGCGCGAATCATGTGAACCACATAAACATAGGGAGAATAACAGCCTTATTTGATTTCTTTTGTATTGTTTATTTCCTGAAGTTGCGTCTATGGATCCGCCAAACAATTGTGTGTTACTATCAGGAGAATTAACATTAGATTTTCTATTATTGATGAGATCTGGGGCCGTATGCTATACTTCTCCTCGGAGGAATGCGTCCCCTCTAGGGGAAGACACCCAGAGGGACGTCCCCAGAGCGGCCGTATGCTACACTCGAGGGGATCCCCGAAGAGATAGAGACGCAGAGTTGCTGGCGCAAATTTGGGGGAAGGGTCGTCTGTACATTCAGCCTTTGGAATCCATAGCTTTTTTTGACATTTTGGAAGATGTGTTGCTAGGACTGATGACGATCAACTACCGATTTGTTCTGCCATTACAAAGTTTCATGCTAAATTTTTCAGACTAAACTGAGCATTGGTCAAGGTCAAGAGGGAAACCACATTAATCATTTAATATTTTAGGACCCTTTGCAAATAGTGTTAGACAAAACAGTTTCTCAGTCTAAATGGTCCAAATGTAGGGAATCTCTTGAAGAAAGGGTGGCTGTATCTGTCCCACCTAGCATAAGAAATGCCATGTTTTTTTCCCTTAGTGGTCCTGCCTCTATCATTATTTCTCCGCTCTCAAACTGCGCAACTTATTTCCAGTATGGGCAATAAGAAAAAGTGGCTGGTTAACATTACAGCGTAACAGGGAAGTGTCTTCGGCTGGACAAAGTTTCTAAGGTCCGAAGTATGATCAGCACCAAAAGACATTCTCGTTAAAGGATTTTCGGAAGGATTTTCAATACTTTGACAGTAATCTGACCACTTATCTTAGCTTGGAGTAGTACCGGCTCGAACAAACGCTGCTTGCATGAGCTGAAGGGAGGGGACTACTAGAATCCTTTGCTACTGACGATGCCGTAGGATGCCCACAGGTAAGGCGTGGTGAGCAGTGGTAGGGTCTGTGGCGGCGAGCGCTGAAGCTTACTCAAGAGCAGTAGGAGGTATTCCCATTCTGCCAAAGTGATGAGGACGATAAGATAGGAATTTTGGGCGTACTTCACCTCTTCAGAGTAGATTCGAACGTTCTTGTTCGATATTTGATTTTTATGTTTTGATATAACTGCTTCTTCGGCGCATTTCGGCTTGGTGAGGGCAGTTTGCTAGTTTCCACCGCAGAGCCCTCCGGTGGGGGCCCAATTAACTCTTGTGAAGCTGTGAAATATTCCATTTATCCTCGGATAGAGCTTCGATAGAGCTTACAGGTCTTACTAAAGTGAGAAGCTACTAGGAGCCGGCGAAATGTTTCTGAGCAGGGCGTGGGAGAGCGCAAAATATTAGCGCACAAATTATCCAAATAGGCTGTACAATGAAAAACTCAGAACACTCTCATTTGAAAACTGCAGAGCAGTTAGGATGTGGTCCCAAGGATTTGAGGAGCCTTGGGAGGAGCAAAGTGGTGAGTCGCGCCCCAGCTACTATGGCTGATAATCCTATTGAATGAATGACGCAGATTACAAAACTAAATTCATGGGGCGTATGTCATATTAATTTCACCCAATATACAGGGGGGCCAAAAAAAAGTCATTTTGCCTCCATGACTTTCAAGGCGCTATAAGTTACACTTTATTAAATTTTTATCGGACATTTTTACTACCATATTAAAGAGCACATTAAATACTATAATGATACTCCGCCACAGCCTTCTGGAGGAGCGCCATCGAGAGATTCGGCCGCGCGAAAAGTGAGTGGGTTACCGAGAGGTTGAGTCGAGATCGTTTGATTTCTCCGCCACTGTAGACCACCCTGTTGAGCCCCGCCCGAACCGAGTAATTGAGGGGGTTTAGTTCAGGACCCCCGCTTAAATACTCCACCTTTTCCAGGTACTCAACGTTCTTCCATTCCAAGTAGGCGAAAGTTTTTCCAACGCCCTTCGATTCCACGTGGTGGCACCCAATGCTGTAGCAGTACAAAGTTTCCAAGAAGGTACGGGCGACGACATGAGGGCCCGGGGTCCACGAAGAAAATATCGGTTCATTCATTCCATGTACGGCCGGTCCACACCATCAACCCGCGCCTTGGTGAATGGGGTGAAGATGATGTCCTGGACCGTAGCGACGTTGCCGGAGCTGCTCGATGTTGGAGGTCTTGCAGATCAAGAGTACTGGTCTCCAGGTAGCTATCCATGGGTGATTCCATTCAAGAAGTTCCGCAGCTGTTTGGAGGCCACGTGAATTCCAAAGCGTTCTCCACTCAGGCCGCGACTGGAGATGACTTCATATTTTGGTGTACATGAAGGTGAATGGCGGCAGCCGGCTCCTGCTTATAGGAAGATCTTGGGTATCTTCCGCCCTGGTACTCATATCCACTTCCTCTGTCTGGGCTGCGAAAACTTCGCTCATATGTGACTCGGCCGGAATGACTTTTTTTTGCCCCCCCCCCCCTGTAGTTCGAGTTAGAGGGGCAAGTATTAATCCTCAATGTCCTCAACCACACTTATATTAGAGAAGAACCAGTAATGAAATCGAAATTCATGGAATGAAAAAAAATCTTCAAATCCACTAAAAAGGGGAAGGAAATTCTGGATTGGGAAGCAATAAACCTTTTTGGAAGCGCGAGATGGCAATACCGTAATACCGCAGGATATCTCTCCTAACACCCCTTAACAACATGGGTAAAGAGGAGAGAGCTGAAAAAAAAATCTTGAAGGAATGATAACGTTGCTCATGTACGCGCCTAGTTAGAATCCAATTCTCCAATTCGCCAGAGGCCTAAGCGCGGCAGCACAATGCACGTCCGGTGAGCTGCCTGGTCACTCGCCGCGCAACGACGCGCTGCGTGCGCCGGGGGGGCGAATCTTATCTCCCCGGACGACTCTGTTGCACGTCCCCACCGTGAAAGACGCTAATTTCTTCATGCTCCGCCTAAAATGCATTTGCGGCGCAGACTCTGTTTATGCTAACAGCCGTCCGCGCGGCGCGTGTCGCGTGCAGCGCTCCTTGGCACTTTGCCAAGTCGTGTAATTGCGCTTTGGAATACAATTGAAAACGCAAACTCCTGATGCGGATAAGTTTTGAGGTGTTCTCTCACCACTACCGGTAACTCACCTGTACGCATCCACTATTTATTCAATCCCCTTTTCTCTCTTTTCCTTCCATATAAAAGCGGCTGCTCATCCGAGCACAGTGGCGGAGGCGGGGCCACCGCCTTTCGCTTCGTCCTGCCGCCGCGCTAACGTCAAAACCGCAAGTACAAGTACAAGTACGAGTGATTTTTCCTCCTGTCGCTCATGACAAAGGTTGCCGGGGTCCGTGCGCCTGGGCTCTGGCGCGCTACACGGGCAAAGCCGCGACGCGACCGC